CCCTGGTGGGGGCAGGAAGCCTGGAAGACACGGCGAAGTGGCCATAGGACAGCTTTGCGGCGGCGTGCCCAAATCGCGAGCTGCGGCGGGGGCTGAGGGATCGGTGCGACCCGTGCTCTGTGGCGCCGAAGCAGCGGCGCCCGGCAGGCAGGTACCAGCTACCCCGAAACCATCTGCAGCAGCAGCAGAAACATGTCGCGTAGCGCCTGACAACAAGGGGGCCGACACTGGCAGGGACGCGGGGTCCGTCGACGCCGAGGTTGGATTCCCGAGTAGCCCGAGCGAGTGCAAGATGGCGTGGGCGCTCGCACGGGAGGCACTGACCGCAAGCGGCTCCCTTGGAGGCAGGGGTGAGGCCCCTAGGCAGGGGATCGCCGACTGCCCACTTCCGCTGTCAGGAAAAGGAAACCCAACCGCGGCGTCGGTCGCGCAACGGTTGTGCGGCGGCGGCACCCGAGCGCCCGCCTCCAGGCTAGCGAGGCAGGGAGATGGCCCCACCTGCCAGACCGCAGGGCCCGACAGCGCCTCAAACCCAGGTGGCGGGTGGAAGGGCAACACTGTCGAAGCGCCCCCTGGCGTAATCGCTGGCGCTAGTGCCGGCGGAAGCGCAGGCGTCGGTGCTGCCGCCGTCTGTGCTGGCGTCAGGGCTGGCGTCGGCGCTGGCCTCGGTGCTGGCGTAGGCGCTGGCGCTGGTGCCGGCGTAAGCGCAAGCGTCGGTGCTGACGCCGCCAGGTGCTGGCGTTGATGCTGACGTCGGTGCGGCGCTGGCGCTGGTGCTGGTGTAAGCGCACGCGTCGGTGCTGCCGCTGTCCGTGCTGGCGCTCGTGCAGGCATCGGTGCCGGCCTCGGCGCAGGAGGAGGCGCTGGCGCTGGTGCCGGCGTAAGCGCAGGCGTTGGTGCTGCCGCCGGCAGTGCTGGTGTTCGTGCATCAAAGCCAGGCGGTGGGCCCATCCGCCAAGCACGCGGCTGTAACGGCGACTCCAACCCAGGGGGGGGCCGGAAGCTGGCGCGAGTCGGCGAGGCGGCTCTGGGACTGCTCCGCGGTGGCCCTGTGCGCTCGGCACGCGTCTGTGACGGCGGCTCCAACCCTGAAGGGAGCTGGAGTCCCGAAAGCGAGGGCAAAGCTGCCTTGGGACCGTCTCGCGGCGGGGTGCTAAGCTGGTTAACTGCGGTGGCGGCTGGGGGAGCGGTACGAACCCCTCCCTGCGGGGCCGCAACAGCATCGCTGGAGGAGCGCATACCCACCCCCTCCAAACCGCCAGAATCCACAGCGTCCGCCGCTACAGTAGGCGGGGGAGGCACCGCGCGCGACAGCTCGTGGGTGATTGCCAAACGAACAGAGCTCCCGCCCCGCCTGGTTTCGACAACCGACGGCTCCGACCCTGGAGGGGGCCGAAAACCCGCGGGAGCGGGCGAGGCGGCCAGAAAACTTGCTCGCGGCGGGCGGCCAGACTGGTGAGCCAGGCCGACGGTTGAGTGGGCGGCACGACCCCTCCCCTGCGGGGCCGTAGCAGCATCGCTGGAAGGGCGCATGCCAACCCCCTCAAATCCGCTGGGTCCCGATCCGCCCGAAGGGCCCTGGGCGCGCGCGCGCCTGTCGTTGCCCACGCGAGGGAAACGATGCCGCGAACGGCAGCTGAGCCATGGCGAAGCGGCGACTGGAGGGGGAGGAGTAGAGGGGGAGTGGAGAAAGAGAGGGTCCACCGACTCCGACTCCTCCGTCCTGGACGCCGTTATCTTCGCGCCGGTGGCCTCTCCGCCTGTTGCCAGGCGGGCGGTGTTCCGAGAGGCGGCGGCGACACTCGTGGCGCGAGCAATAGACCGTTCGGCGGCGGGCGGGCTCGACCCTTGAGTGGCGCCGGCAACGGGCGTAGCGCGAGCACTCTTCTTCCGGGCCGATGGCGCGGCCTCCTCGTGACGCGAGGGAACTCCACCTCCTACTCCTCTCCTCAGATGGGCGTCCGCTCCGGGGTCCAAGGGGAAGAGGCAAGAGGAAGGAGGGGAGTTTTGTAGCGGCGAAAGGGAGGCAGGCGCCATCGGATGCCGAGCCTGCGGGACGGGGCTCAGAAGCCAGCGTCACACGAGCAGCAGCTGCGGCAGGCGCGGGAGGAACCCGCGAGCAGGTCAGACGCCTGCCTGGACGGCCTGGCTGGGGCCACGCCCAGATGACACGGGCGCGCACTGCCAGGGGGGCAGCGGCGCCCGAGCGGAGAGTGTGCACACTCGCCGCTGCCGGGTGCCCACAGGAGGCAGCCGGCCCACCCCCACCCGAGCTCTGACTGGCGGGGTGAAAGAGCGACCCCGAACCAGCCAGATCACGGAGGAAGCGTTGGGACCCCTGCCTGCGGCAGTGGCCCAAAGCAGCTCGTAGCCCAGCAAGTAGAACACCGCCGCGTAGGTGAAGAGGAACCTGCGCGGCGGTGGCAACCGCAAGCCCCCTGGCGCCCTGGCCGCGCGCGCGCGCGGCGGGGGGAGCGGGGGGCGAGAAGAGCAAGCTTGGGGACGAGAAGCTGCAGGACCTGAACGGGCGCGAGCGGCAAGGAGAATAGAGAAGCGCATCATCATCATCATCATCATCACCATCATCATCATCGTCATCGTCATCACCATCACCATCATCATCCTCATCCTCATCATCATCATCATCGTCATCACCACCACCATCACCATCATCATCCTCATCATCATCATCGTCATCGTCATCGTCATCGTCATCACCATCATCATCAGCATCATCATCATCATCATCGTCATCGTCATCGTCATCACCATCATCATCAGCATCATCATCAGCAGCACCATCATCATCATCATCATCATCAGCATCATCATCATCATCATCATCATCATCATCATCATCAGCATCAGCATCAGCATCAGCATCAGCATCATCGTCATCATCATCAGCATCATGCTCATCCTATCCTTTCCACCTCCTCATCTCCTCTTCTCTTCCACCTCCTGAACTCCACCTCCAACTCCTCCTCCGTGGGGACACCCCTATCCGACTCGGATCAAGGCACAAGCGTTTGCTTGCCCCTGCTGCTGCCACAGTTGGTAGCGGAGCGGGGTCAGGGCGCGGGGCCGTGGACCGACGAGGGTTGGCCAGAGATGCGGACCCCGCGGCTCGCGAGCCTCCGCCAACGGCTCCGCCCTCAAGGCACGAGTGATTGCTCGCTCCTGCTGCTGCCACATCCTGTCGGCGGCGAGCGAGGAGGCCTCATCGCCTCGTCTAGGTGCGAGGGCAAGGGCAAGCTAGGTGCGCTCGCGCCTAATCTGACGTCCTGTGTCTCCCCCTCCCATCCCTTCCCATGGTGCTGATTTTTCTCTATCCGCGGATGCGCGTCAGACCGACCTGCGACTCCCGCAGAAAGACCACTCCGTGTTATACGCGATCGGAAATGTAAACTGCGTGCGCGACTGGAGGAGGAGGAGGAGGAGGAGGAGGAGGAGGAGGAGGAGGAGGAGGAGGAGGAGGAGGAGGAGGAGGAGGAGGAGGGGGGGGAGGGGGAGGAGGACGAGGAGTAGGAGGAGGAGGAAGAAGAGGAGGAGGGACTTACCGTCCCGGCATCCCTACAGGCCTACCACGGCATGATCTCAGAACCCCAACGTGCTCTAAGAACGAAAACAATGTTCTTAGAATGACAGCCCAGCCTCTTAAAGCATGACAGTCTCAGCCAGAAATGTTCCAGTGCAAGTCACAATAGGTTTTTGAAACATTTGTCGGTGGGCCTGTAGCAAGCCAGGACGCTTCGCCACTGCTTGACTCAGGTCCCATCTCGGGAGCGGCCAAGAGGGGGGTGTCCAAGAGGAGGGGGTGCAAATCATGACCGGCGGCATGTGCGCGGCCCAGCGGGGGGGCCAAGAACGTAATGAAATAAGAATCGGGGATGGACAGACCCCCCTTTAGTAAAACGTGGTTTAGTGAAAACGACCTGAGGCCAAAACCTGGCGGGCGCAAGCCTGGAAAATAACGGCCACGGCGCCCTCTCGAGAACCGCAAACGGACAATTCACTAATCGACGTGTCACTGTTGGGGGTTCTGTCCACCCCCGAAAGAAGAGGCGCCATGAAATCTGGGGAAATATCATGGCCCACGCCATGATATCCACCCCCCCCTAGTCATCACCCCCCTCTTTTCCGCCCCCGACCATCTCCTCGGAAGTCCGCGCGGACTTCTTGGATCGGCGCTGTCGCCCCCCTCCCCCGGCGCACGGAGCGCGCGCCCGAGGGGCCGCCCTATAGGGGGGCCCCAGCTCCGATCCCGGACCTCCGCGCAGACCTCCGGGAAATGCCGCCTGTGCCCTGCTTTTCTCTTTCCTCCCCGAGACATCCAGGATGAAGGGGCCCCAGAGCACACACAAATAAATACACACAAATAAAAGCATTCCCCATATGTTCCCACATTTTCTCAGTGTTTGCCTTCTCCCCCACTTCCCATATTTTCCCCTATTTTCTGGGGAGTCGACGATTCATTGTGTCTTTTTTTTTTTTCCTCCTGACAGGAGCCGTCTCCCCCTCGGGGCCCGGCTCCTTCTCTCGGGGATTCTCGCCGCTCTGGGCGCCCGAAGTGGGCACCGCAAAAAATGGGTACGATGCCCAACAGCAAATGCTGTCCCAGACCAGCAGCGGGCCGGGCGAAAGGGGGGGATAGCAAAGGGGGGGTTTGAGAATCAGCTCACGTAGCTGATTTTCCCGGCGCCTCCCGGCGCCGGGAGGCGCCCATGTATCGAGGAATGGGCCCGGCGGTGGGGCCGAAACCAGCTGCATGCAGCAGATTTCGTAACCCCCCCTTTCCCAAACCCCCCCTTTCGCCCGACCCGACAACAGCGGCCGCTGTGGGGCAGGCGGCCCTCTGTCTCAAGTGGACACAGGCCGCGGCGGCGTGGACAGCGAATCTGGTTCAAACTGAACAGGAACTGCTGTTGGGCACTGTACCTATTCTTTCCGTTCCCATTTCGGGCGTCGCGCCCCCCCCCCCCCTGCGCGCGGCCGGCCGCTCCTGAGCTGGCTCCAGTACCTCGGCGCGTTGTAGTGCGCGGAGATCGCGGTGGACAGCGCGCAAACCAGCACCAACGTGCTCGGGGTCACCGCCCAGGGGCCGCCGGGCACCACGGCGGACGCCCCGGCGCCGGCCCCCACGAAGTACCTGCCGCCTGCGGCAAGTGCAGGGGCCCTGACACACACACACACACACATACACATATATATATATATATATACACACAAATTACAAGATTCCCAATTATTTCCTGGGTTTTTCTCTTCCCCCCCACTTCCCATATTTTTCCATGTTTTCTGGGGAGTCGGCGATTAATCGTGTCTGTGTGTCTCTTTCCCTCCTGAGCACAGGGGGGGGGCGAGCAAGCCAGGACAGAAACGGCAAACAGCTCGGAGGTTCGCGCGGCAGCATCTCGTCGCGGTCGCTGCAGGCGCGGAGGCCGCGTCTCACTCGATCGGCGCCGATCCCGAAGACAAGACGGCCGCCGCACAGCGCTAGGCTGGCCGGGGACAGTTGCGTAACGCAGTAGAGCACCGTAAGAGTACCGAAAGTGATGATGATGCGGGCATGCAACACTGGGACTCGTTCCTATACGGTTGAAACGGCCAATCCAGCGCAACAACACGCAAACACATTGAGAGTGCTTGGCAAGGGCCCTTACCTGCAATGCCGGCATAGAGCTCCAAATGTAACGATCATGTTGTGCCTACCAAGAGTGTGGACTCTTGCCGTGAATGTCGAGTCGGCTAAGCCGACCCGACGGACCGAACGTCAATTGGGCGTGCTCGGCAACAGCCCGTAACCCACAGCCCCCTGGAATAGAGTACTGAACGACAATGCTGATAATGCTGCGGACGTGCAACACATCTGGATGCTCGGACTCGTGCCTACACAGTTGAACAAGTCTCGTCGGCAACTACACACTTCTTTGGCATGCTTGGCAGTGGCCGTTGAGCCGCAATCATGGCATAGAGCTCCCTGCATGAACACAACATGACGCAACGCCCATGTCGAATCGGTCGACACGACCCGACTGACCGCAAGCTACTCCGACATGCTTTGCAAGGGCCCTTATCTCAGTCCCCCGGCATAGCGTTGCAAATACGATGATGATGCGGACATGCAATGTACGCACCTTGATACTGGCAATCGCGCTTACTCTGTTTAGTCGGCCAGGTCGCCACAGCAACCTGCAAACTGGGCATGCTGGGCAAGGGCCCTTCACCCACAATCCTGCCATTGAACTCCGATGATATTGCGCCTGCTGCTGGGAGTGTGTTCTCTTTACGACAATGGCGAATCGGCCAAGCTGACCAGCCGGACCGTGGGGTTACTTTGGAAAGCTCGGCGAGCACCCTGAGACCACAGTCTCCTGGCGTAGAGTACCAGAGGGGACGATGGTGATGATCATGATGATGATGATGATGCTGATGATGATGATGATGATGATGATGATGATGATGCTACTGCTGATGATGATAATGATGATGATGATAATGATGGTAATGACGGTTGTGATGATGATGATGATGATGATGATGATGATGATGATGATGATGATGATGATGCAGCCATACAACATGTGCACGTGGATGCCCAAACTCTTGCCTGTAGGATGGAGCCGGCTAACGCGAAGCAACGCGTCACCGACTCATTTGGGCATGCTTGGTGGGGGTCCTTAGTTGACCCGCAATCTGGGCAAAGAGGTCCGAATATGAGGGAAGGATACATCGCCGTTGCGAAAGGTTTGACCCATTACGTGGCTCTTGCCGAACGAAGGCTCCAATGGTGGGCAGGGGCCAACACGCCATCGAGCGCCAGAGCCTGCGACAAGAAAGGACTTCGATCCCGAAAATGCTCTCATGGGATCTGGAGGAACTCCTGGGCGAAGTCGCCACTTCGACTTTGAAGCGAATGGGCTCCGACCCCTGCTTTGGAGGACACATGTGGCGGAATCGCAAGTCCGACTTGCAACCCAAGCAATTGTACTTCAATCGAGCCGTTTTGTTGCGATGGAGTACCACGTGGGATCGTCGTTTCGCGTCGGGCCGGCACTTTAAATGTCACTCCTGCAGCCCGAACACTCGAGCATGTTGTTCTCGCTCGGGACCCCACCGACAAAAGCGATCTCGACCTGCTGTCGCACCTCGCCGGCCCGGGGGTCGACGTGGCGACTCCGCCCGATACCTCTTCGAAGAGACGTGCTCGCCCGAGGTCGGCCCCCCCCCCCCCGGGTCCGCACTCCAAGCGGACTGGGAGTGCCTTCGCCGCACGAGGCAGCGAGACGCACCCCTGGCAGTAGGTCGGACCTGTCCTCCTACAGGCGGATGTTGGGCGAAAGTTGAACCACACACTCAAACATATGTGTTTTAAAAAGTCGAAGCGTCGCCCGAGGTCGAACCCCCCCGGGTCCGCACTCCAAGCGGACTGGGAGTGCCTTCGCCGCACGAGGCAGCGAGACGCACCCCTGGCAGTAGGTCGGACCTGTCCTCCTACAGGCGGATGTTGGGCGAAAGTTGAACCACACATTCAAACATATGTGTTTTAAAAAGTCGAAGCGTCGCCCGAGGTCGAACCCCCCCGGGTCCGCACTCCAAGCTGACTGGGAGTGACTTCGCCGCACGAGGCAGCGAGACGCACCCCTGGCAGTAGGTCGGACCTGTCCTCCTACAGGCGGATGTTGGGCGAAAGTTGAACCACACATTCAAACATATGTGTTTAAAAAGTCGAAGCGTCGCCCGAGGTCGAACCCCCCCGGGTCCGCACTCCAAGCGGACTGGGAGTGCCTTCGCCGCACGAGGCAGCGAGACGCACCCCTGGCAGTAGGTCGTACCTGTCCTCCTACAGGCGGATGTTGGGCGAAAGCTGAACCACACATTCAAACATATGTGTTTTAAAAAATCGAAGCGTCGCCCGAGGTCGAACCCCCGGGTCCGCACTCCAAGCTGACTGGGAGTGACTTCGCCGCACGAGGCAGCGAGACGCACCCCTGGCAGTAGGTCGGACCTGTCCTCCTACAGGCGGATGTTGGGCGAAAGTTGAACCACACATTCAAACATATGTGTTTTAAAAAGTCGAAGCGTCGCCCGAGGTCGAACCCCCCCGGGTCCGCACTCCAAGCTGACTGGGAGTGACTTCGCCGCACGAGGCAGCGAGACGCACCCCTGGCAGTAGGTCGGACCTGTCCTCCTACAGGCGGATGTTGGGCGAAAGTGAACCACACATTCAAACATATGTGTTTTAAAAAATTGAAGCGTCGCCCGAGGTCGAAACCCCCCGGGCCCGCACTCCAAGCTGACTGGGATGGACTTCGCCGCACGAGGCCAGCGAGACGCACCACTGGCAGTAGGTCGGACCCTTGTCCTCCTACAGGCGGATGCTGCGATCCGCCGCTGAAACCACACATTCAAACAAGTATGTGTTTTTAAAAAGTCGAAGCGTAGCCCGAGGTCGAACCCCCCCCCGGTCCGCACTCCAAGCTAACTGGGAGTGACTTCGCCGCACGAGGCAGCGAGACGCACCCCTGGCAGTAGGTCGGACCTGTCCTCCTACAGGCGGATGCTGGGCGAAAGTTGAACCACACATTCAAACATATGTGTTTTAAAAAGTCGAAGCGTCGCCCGATGTCAAACCCCCCGGGTCCGCACTCCAAGCGGACTGGGAGTGCCTTCGCCGCGCGAGGCAGCGAGACGCACCCCTGGCAGTAGGTCGGACCTGTCCTCCTACAGGCGGATGTTGGGCGAAAGTTGAACCACACATTCAAAAATATGTGTTTAAAAAGTCGAAGCGTCGCCCGAGGTCGAACCTCGCGGGTCCGCACTCCAAGCTGACTGGGAGTGACTTCGCCGCACGAGGCAGCGAGACGCACCCCTGGCAGTAGGTCGGACCTGTCCTCCTACAGGCGGATGTTGGGCGAAAGTTGAACCACACATTCAAACATATGTGTTTTAAAAAAGTCGCAGCGTCGCCCGAGGTCGAACCCCCCGGGTCCGCACTCCAAGCTGACTGGGAGTGACTTCGCCGCACGAGGCAGCGAGACGCACCCCTGGCAGTAGGTCGGACCTGTCCTCCTACAGGCGGATGTTGGGCGAAAGAAAAAAAAAAAAAATGAACTCACAAATTCAAAATATGTGTTTTTAAAAAGTCGAAAGCGTCGCCCGAGTCGAACCCCCGGGGTCCGCACTCCAAGCTGACTGGGAGCGACTTCGCCGACGAGGCAGCGAGACGCCCCCCTGGCAGTAGGGTCGACCGCCTCTACCAGGCGGATGTGGGCGAAAATTGAACCACACATTCAAATATGTGTTTTAAAAAAGTCGAAGCCGTCGCCCTGAGGTCGAACGAGGCCCGGGTCCGCACTCCAAGCTGACTGGGAGTGACTTCGCCGCACGAGGCAGCGAGACGCACCCCTGGCAGTAGGTCGGACCTGTCCCCCTACAAGCGGATGTTGGGCGAAAGTTGAACCACACATTCAAACATATGTGTTTAAAAAAGTCGAAGCGTCGCCCGAGGTCGATGCCCCCCCGGTCCGCGCTCCAAGCTGACTGGGAGTGACTTCGCCGCACGAGGCAGCGAGACGCACCCCTGGCAGTAGGTCGGACCTGTCCTCCTACAGGCGGATGTTGGGCGAAAGTTGAACCACACATTCAAACATGTGTGTTTTAAAAAGTCGAAGCGTCGCCCGAGGTCGAACCCCCCCGGGCCCGCACTCCAAGCGGACTGGGAGTGCCTTCGCCGCACGAGGCAGCGAGACGCACCCCTGGCAGTAGGTCGGACCTGTCCTCCTACAGGCGGATGTTGGGCGAAAGTTGAACCACACATTCAAACACCTGTGTTTTAAAAAATGGAAGCGTCGCCCGAGGTCGAACCCCCCCGGGCCCGCACTCCAAGCTGACTGGGAGTGACTTCGCCGCGCGAGGCAGCAAGACGCACCCCTGGCAGTAGGTCGGACCTGTCCTCCTACAGGCGGATGTTGGGCGAAAGTTGAACCACACATTCAAACATATGTGTTTTAAAAAAGTCGAAGCGTCGCCCGAGGTCGAACCCCCCCGGGCCCGCACTTCAAGCGGACTGGGAGTGACTTCGCCGCACGAGGCAGCGAGACGCACCCCTGGCAGTAGGTCGGACCTGTCCTCCTACAGGCGGATGTTGGGCGAA